AGTGAGAGCGCCCTGTGTTATCTTCACCGGTCTTGGATACACCAAGCTCATGGATGATGATTGCAATACGCTGCTGACTGAGCTTCGTGACTTTGTGATTGACGTGCCCGAGCACTACAGACAAAACGCACCATTGACATTCTTTGGTGACCGCTATTGTAGCACTGTATCTGAAGCGATGTCTGTTGATGAAGCTGAGGAGAGCTAGTATTTTTTGAAGCGGTAGAGGAATGAAACCCACCATTGCTTTCACCGGAACGTTGGACTGAGATTGTATGTTTGGAACGAAGAGAGATTGATGGAATTCATTGGCTGGATTCAGAGGATTGAATCGAGTGAGGAAGTGACAACGACGGCCTTGTTGAGACTTCACTGACGGAAACAACTGAAATTGTAACTGTGGTTACAAAAGAAGAGGACCTTGGGTAGTGACATTGGCTTCTTCCAAAGCAAGCGATCCTGTCACCATGTTGGACAATCACAAGAAGCAGAAGCATGCTTGAAAGGTGGTGTGCTGCTCGAAACAATTGCACTCTGATGTCATTATTCGTACCGAATGTTCTTCCATTTCTATAGAAGCAACTAGGCTTGGTTTTTGTCTTTCTTGAATAGTGTTTAGTAAGTAGTATATTATATACTACTGCAATAGGCAACTTCTACCATCCGCTCAACCATACTATTTAGCTTGAAAGATACCACTTGATGGCTGCTTGGGCAATCTTCATTACGCTCGAATCATGTTTGACCAAAGCGAATCGACTTGCCCAAGTAGGTGGGCTACCATCTTTTCTCGTCATATCCCTGGGCACACTCTTCGAATGTTACGAAATTGCTTGCAAACCTTCTCACGAGCCACTTCATTGGATACCACCTCCCATTTTCCATCATACTCTGTGGAGGGCTTTAGGAAGCGAGCTCCACTCCTTTGTATTCGCTCCACCAATTGCGACAATGTATTCTTTTTTTCGCCACGGTCGGTGCGGTTGTACTCATCTGAAAACGCGATAATAAGCTCTCATAGCTGCCGATTACCTGGATGAGTGAGCCGTGGCCCAAATAAGACATTGTTTGGACTGACCTGATCTACAATTTCTGTAGGCCTTGATATGAATGATGGTGTCAAGGATGAAAGCCCCGCACTAGAAGCGCTGTTTGCGCTCGGCCGAGACCGTCGACGACGCAAATTGCGGAAGAGCTGTGTGACCTTGACACGCTGTTCATCTGGCGATAGTTCCATCCAAATGATCTTCCCTTCATCCTCTGATGGCATCAAATCTGTTTCTGAAGCAGCTCGAGGGTCTGGCTTCAGAAATCTACCGCCATGCCTGTGAACTTCATCAATGATCCCAGCAACAATTGTGCGATGATTGGAAATACTTCCATTGTCATACGCTGAGAGATAGATTAGCGCCAAGGAATGCAGCCGTTCATTTCCTACACCTTTGACTCTTTTTGCCAAGCACAAGACATCGTTTCCATTTGCACTATTTGGTCCAGATGCGGTGTCATGGCAGGATGTGTTCCGTTGGTGCGTTGCAGTGGCTCAAGCAGAATGAATGAGCGCAGGAGCTTGTTGCCGTTGCTCTTCCTCTTGGTGCATTCTTCTCTGAAACCAAGCATTTTGATAGCTCAAATCCATCTCACTTTCCTTTCCCTTCAGAGGAAGCGAGCCTCTGGTAATACCATAGCTTGCGAGCAAATATGGGCATTCTGTATGCGATCCCAAGTGTACCCGCAATTTAACACGTTCCTGATATGGCAGCATTTTAATGGATGCGCTGGTTACCATGCATTCTATTGGATTGCTGTAACATAGATGGAGGCCGTCAAGTCTGAAAGGGACAGCTTCCATAAACAACTTTCCTCCTTCCAGCATCCCCCAACCGTTTAAATGATTGTGATACTGTTCAACAAGATAGCCTATGATGACGCTTCCTTTGCTAATGTCTATCATTGTTTCAATACTGTTCACTAACATGTATAATCTGGCTCGCAACACTGTCCGGATAGTCGTTTTGGTTCGAAGGCCGAGGAACTCCGCAAAGATCGTTTGACCTGATCGATCACGAAACGGCGAGAACTGAATGTTGCCATCCAATAAGCACCTCAAATCATCTTGGTTCAAATCTTGGACAGTGATGTCCCAAACCAAGCTGTCTTCACCAAAGAGGTCTTGTTTGTATTTGAAAAAGGTAATCAGTTTCGCAGCTGATGCTTTTGGTTCAAAATGACTTGATCGTAAGAAAGCCAACTGAAATT